GTGGCGAGGGCCGTGGACGTGGACGTGGCGAGGGTCGCGGTCGTGGACGTGGCGAGGGTCGTGGACGTGGCCGTGGCTTCCACAGCGAGCGTGACGCCTACCGCACGGGTGCCGCCGCTGCTCCTGCTGTTGAGGCGCAGTGAGGTTGCTCAGTAACAAGCAGTGAATTTGGATCGTTTTATTTTCGAGGCTATTGCCTTTTTTTTGTCAGTTTTGTTTATTTGGGTTTAATGAGTTACATGCAGCAGCTTGCTCTGTCGTGAGGCATTCTATGTTTCTTCGAATGGATGCTGCTATTGGCTTGAGTTGCCTCTTTTTGTTCTTGTGTTTTTTTCCCCCTTCTTCTTTATGGTTTGTTGTCACCTAACCCATACGCACAGGCCGGTATATATCAGTAGTATTCCGCACGGTACTCATCCAGTTAGCAAAGGGGGGTGAAGAGAGAAATATTAGCAATAGAGTTTATCTACGGAGGCAATGCGTACTACAGTGAAGTGGTCAGAGATGCCGTCCGGTGGGGACGGCGAGTCTCCCCCCATTTACAGTCTCTGTTACAGTCCAACCGCAGACAACATTATGGTTGCTTCCGGAGTTCGGGTGTTGATCTACGACGCCAGCATGGGATCTGTCTTACGCTCCCTTAAAGGGCATACTGACACGGTGTACTGTGTTGCTTGTTCCCATGACGGCAAGTCCTTGGCAAGTGGAGGGGCGGATAAGACTGTTATTCTCTGGAATAACAAGTGGGAGGGTGTGTTAAAGTATCAGCACAAGGAATCTGTGCAGGCCCTGGCCTACAATCCCTCAACTGGGCAGCTTGTTTCTGTAGCGAGCTCCGACTATGGGGTTTGGTCCCCAGACCAGGCGAAGGTAGGGAAAAACACGCTGCCATCTAAAGGACTTTGTGCCGCTTGGTCTCGAGATGGAGAATCGTTGGCTATCGGGCTTTTCGACGGCACTGTTCTCTTGATTTCTCCGTCCGCCTCGGAGAGGGTGGTGATTAAACGCACCGCCCCTGTCTGGACACTCGCGTTTTCGCCCATAACCGAAAACGGTTTGGACGTCCTCGTTGTGGGATCGTGGGATAGACGACTTTCTTTCTACAACACCCAGGGGAATTCCATAAGCAAAGAGAAGGAACTTCCGTGTGACCCTTGTTGTATCTCCTTTTACGGAAAAGGTAGCTTCCTGCTGGTGAGTGGGAGCGACCACAAGGTGACACTCTACACAAAGGACGGTAACATGCTTGTTAATGTGGTCAATGCCAATGACTGGATATGGTCGGTGCATCAGCGCCCGGGCAGCCCGCAAGTTTGCTGCGGAACAAATGACGGCAACCTCAGCGCCATTGAAATTGCTGTGCCCACCGTGCACAGCATCTACCATGATCAGTATGTTTACCGTGACAAGATGACTGACATCGTCGTCCATCAGCTAACACTAGAGAGGAAGATACGTATTCCTTGCAATGACTACGTTCGCAAGCTGGCTATGTACAGAGATCGTCTTGCAGTACAGCTTCAAGATAGAATTGTCGTGTTTGAACTTTACTACGATGACGAAAGGCAACTACGGTTTCAGGATATTGCACATGTTGGAAAAAAGCTGGAGTGCAATCTCCTCTGTGTAACATTCAACGCCGTCCTTGTATGCTTTGAGCGGCGACTAACCATGTATGACTTTCAAGGCAATAAGCGCAGAGAGTGGGCCTTTGAAACTCCTGTTCGCTACATAAGAGTGGTTGGCGGCGCAGAAGGAAAAGAAGTTCTTTTAGTTGGACTAAAAAATGGGGCGGCGTTACGCGTTTCCATCGACAATCCTTTCCCCACAACATTGGTGAAGATCAACAGTCCTATTCGCTGCCTCGACGTTAGCTGCATGCGCGGCAAACTGGCTGTGGTTGACGAAAACGAGTTACTGCAGGTATTCGACCTTCGAAAAGAAAACGAGGTGTTGTTCACAGAAACCGGCGTGCTGGCCGTCGCATGTAACACGGAATATGATGACATGATTAGCTACACCACATCGGTCAACATGTTGAACATTAAAACAGGTTCCCTCCCTCCCTATCAGCAGAAGATACCAGGATTTGTCGTAGGTTTCAAGGCCAATCGCGTCTTTAATCTTAACTCCACAGTGATTGACGTGGTGGAGGTGCCGCACTCGCATGCCCTCTATCGCTACGTGGAGAAGAAGGACTTTGATTCTGCCTATCGTATTGCGTGCCTCGGTGTCACAGAAGGGGATTGGAAGATGCTTGGGATGCATGCCATGACACAACTACGGTTGGACATCGCACGGAGGGCATTTATTCGGATTCATGAAGTGAAGTTTGTTGAATTGCTTAATCGGTTGGAGTTGGAGCGGCGTCAAGGCACTGCTAAGGAGAATTCCGAAAATGACGCTCTTCTTATGGGAGACATTATGGCATACCAGGGCAGGTATCAGGAGGCGGCAAGGTACTTCCTGAGAGCGGGACAAGAGAATAAGGCCATTGAAATGTTCTGTGACTTAAAAATGTGGAAGGAAGCCAAAAAAATTTGCAGCAACGAAAAATACTTGAAGGAGTTGATTTTTCAGCAGGCTCGGTGGGCGGAGGATTCCCAGAATTACATCGAGGCTGCATCCTTGTATCAAGCCTGTGGGGACGCAGGAAAAGCAATTGCCATGACGCGTTTAGCGGGTCAGCTTGACAAGTTAATGGAAATGTGTAGAGCACTGCCGCGCTCGGAAGTGGCTCTCATCACAGAATGTGCTGAATACTTCAGGAAACATGACGCAAAACAGTACGCATTGGAAGCATACGAAAGGGTGGGAGATATTCGCTCCGTTATCGCTCTTCATGTGGGGGTGCAGGAGTGGAGAGAGGCGTTTGCCTTTCTTGAGCGTTACCCCTCGTACATCCGTGAGGTGTATGTCCCATGGGCGACTTGGTTGGCGGAAAATGGCAAATTTGAGGAGGCCCTCGAGGCGTATCGACTAGCCAAGTGGCCGAGGGAGGCAGTTCGTGTGACGGAAGCACTTGCAGCGAATAGCGTGGTGTGTCGCAAGTTTCGTGATGCTGCCTTTTATTACATGCATCTTGCCAGGGAGTGGGGGGTGTTGGAGGATGGCCAACAACTGACAGAGGCGCAGTGGGCAAAGCGAATGCAGCTTAGCGCGGAATGTGTCCGTCGGGCTGATATTTACTATGCCTATCACTTTGTCTATACCTACGCAACGCAGCCGTTTCCGTACGACGAAGTGGTACTGTTCAATTTATCCAAGTATGTGGTGTCGGTGCTGAGCGGCGCTGTTGTTCCGTTGAATGTGGGGAAAGGCGAAGTGCTCTACACGCTCGCGCGTGTTGCAAATCAACTGAACATGACCCGCATATCGCGTGTGGCGCTTGAACTGCTTCAGGCTGTTGTTCTTCCCATAAAGGTCACGGAGCAGGTTGATGTGGATAGTCTGTTGATACGCAGCAAGGCCTACACGGACAGGGAAGATCTTCAAGACGTATGCTTCCGCTGCAAGCAGGCTGTGCCGCAACTCACGAATCCGGGCGATCGGTGCCCAAACTGTGCCCATCCTTTTGTCCGCTCCTTTGTAAATTTTCATGCTCTTCCCCTCGTGGAGTTTACCTTGTCGAACGAGCTCGGCGATGCGGAGGCAGAGCGCATTATTCTGGCTGGTTCAGGGCGCAAGGCGGCGGAAGCAAACAACGAGAACGGGTATAGAAATGACAGTGGGTGGAAAGCGGACACCGGCGCCGATGTGATTACGTTTGCTGAGGAAGAGGACAACATAGATGCCATGATAGATCAGCAAATGACTGCCATGGGACGCGCGTCCGCCACTGGGCGAGATCCGTTTCAAGCGCAATTGGCATACGTCACACGACCCGGCAGACCAAACGCCGAGTACCAGCCGTTTGTTGCGAACGCTGAGATGCTTCGTCGGATGCGTCGCGATGAAGTGTTTATCGTAAAGGCTGGCTTTGGAACACTTCCAATGCAAAACAAATACTACCGCGTGATGAACCGCAGTGTGGGCATCGTCCTTTGCCCGGGGTGTCAACACTTCTTCACGGAAGACGAATACGAGTATGAATGCATGAAGGGAAGTGGGTGTCCGCTGTGTCGTCATAGGATGGGGCGGCAAACGCAGCGCTCAGTAAAGCGGATGCTTTACGATATTCTGGACAGTGAAAAATAGTGCAGCCGAAGAAGATTGGAGAACGCTGCACACATATGCAGATGCATGGAAGAGAGAAAGCGAGGGTGGGGGGCGGATGAAGATGCACTGGTGGGAGGACTGTTTAGAGAATCTGAGGGAGTGACATGGAGAAAAGTCTAGTGGTATACATATATGCATTCTCTGTATGTGGATGTCTTGTGCGTCGTTTACATCGTCGTCTCTCGGTTTACTCTTCCTTTTCTTCCACAACGGATGGCACCGAATTTAAATGGCCACGCGTACGCATACCTTTGTGTTCCCATTTGCATCTTCTGGAAAAGACGTCTTTTTTTTTTATTATTTTCCTCTTCTCTTCTCGGTGTTCTCTGTTTTTGGGTTCCCGTGTCCCTTGCGTGCTCCTCAACACAATGCTGAAGGCAGGTGTGTGTGTGTGTGTGTGTGTGTGTGTGTGTGTGTGTGTGCGCGCATGCGTGCTTCACTGTGGTGGTAAGAGGTGCAATGCTATTGAGGTCACTGCTCGTCGTTGCGGTTTTTCTGTCAGTGCTTGTTCGTGCTGGCGACAGCGAGCCATACGAGGACAGAGCCACAGACTGGGTGGAGGATGATCCGATCGACGGTGCGCTGAATGGGCAACTCTTGTCCTCGCTTGGACTGCCTCTGCGTGTGCGGCTGGCATCACCAAAGGAGGTGGAAGAACTCATTTGGGTAATTCGCTTCATGGATGTAAAAAGAGGCCAGTGTCCGCGCCTCAGTGCGTGGGAGGAGCTGCGCATGGTGTTCGAGGCAGTTGCGCCGGAGGACGTCTACGGACTGCGGCGCCTGGGCGCCCTGCAGCGTCTGCTGTCGGGCACGGAAACGCAGGAGGGCGCCGATGGGGCGGAGAGGCCGGGGCAGATTGAGTTGACGTTGCCGCAGGGCGACGATACTCTTCAGGTTCACGTGAGCGACATCGTCCTGCGGCATCGGCCCGGTGAGCAGCCGCTCTTGCAGGTGGACCTGCTGGCGCTGCTACTGCGGCAGATGCGGGAAAGAAAAAGGCGGCAGATGAAGCGTAACGTCCGAAAGGTGGAGGAAAATCATTTGCGGTTGCGTCTTCTGCACCAGGTGAGCCTCCGTAGGGGGCGGCAAGCGGGTCTTGAAGCTGCCCTTGAGCGTGCCGAGCGGTTGGCCATGCTGAAGCAGAGCTCCGAATGGCAACGAAATCGTACCGAATACGCGACGCGTGAACGTCCGCTGATTTCTCTTGTAGACGCAAAGGCAGCGGGAGACTCCCCTTCTGCAATTCCCACAGAACGATGCAAGAGCATCCGTCACGCCATACACACATTGCAGAGTCAACGCGTAGTGCCGACTGAAAGACGTATGCGCTACCTTCGCGAGGAAGAAAGAAAGACGTGTGGGTCCGTGCTGCATTCACTTGTAGACCTCTCCCGCCACTACAAGAGGGAGGTGTGTAACTCCCATTGCCCTTCCTACTGTGAAGCTGTTGAGCGATTTGAAGCTTGGATGAGGTTTAGCGGATCTGTAGTGTCTGTAGCCCAGTTGCATGCCTTGTACCACAGCGTCCTCTTGCACAATAGCAATTTCAACGATACGGCGGTGAACTATCTCTCCCTTCTCCGTGAACTTGTCCTGGATGACGTGGATCGGGGTGTGTTTTCTAACTGTGCCGAGTTGTGTAGTCCATCTGTGAATTTGCTTGCGGAAATGAAATTCTTCGCCGGTGTGCTGGATATTCTTGATGACGCACCAGAGACGAGCGCGGAAGTCAAGGAAATAAACGCGGTTTGGTGGGGTCGTGCCCGACAGGCGTATCTACGCATTTGGGCCGCCTCACATGCTGGTTCACGACGGGCCACTGCCGCCCTTGCCACGATGAAGGAGCACGGAATAATGTCCCCGCGACGGCGTCGTGTGGCGGCCGTGTTGCTCTCCAATCTGTTGTCGGAGAGGCACGCGTACTTTTGGAAGCAAGTCATGAACAGAGAGACGCAGCCCTCGGGGAGGGCGGCACCGTCGGCGCAGAGACTGTTGCGGTTTGAGCGATTTTTTGCGGTAGAAAATAGCTGGAGTGTCGTCAATGAACCGTTTCTCACGCGTATTCAAATCAAGGCGTTTACTTCCGAAATTGATGGTGACGAGGAATACGATATGGAAACCGGCAGAGAACCCGGTGAACTCCCCCGGAGCGTCTTTCGACACCTTTTCTTGGGGCAGCTGCACATTGCCGGAATTAAAGGTGTTCCACGCGATTTAAAGCGTGCGGAGTGTCTTTTTTTGCTACTGCTGCGAAAACTACAATACACGTGCGACGTGACACACCCAGAGGAATTGGATGCTTCCTATTTTGCGGAAGACGGCAGGGGTGGCGCCTGCGAGGAACACCTTGAACAGTTGTACTTGCTGCGTGAAAGTGGAATCTCCATGGGACCCTGTGGATTTCGCAATGAATCGTATGGATCAAAACCGCACCCAAGTTTGTGGCGAATTACACGTTCAAAGAAGGTACACGAAGTAGTTCACAGAGTGTTGGTGTTGCTGTCTTATGTTTATCTGTTAAACGGACTCCAGTATGATATGGCTGCCAAGTATGCCTTTTTGGCTCTGGAAGTCAGCGCTGCGTCGTTTTACGCCGCAATGGCCGATTTACCTGCGGATGCAGCGAAAGATTTTGCTGTAGGCAACACTAGTCGTAATGGGAATTTTGAGCTGTTGAAGAATAAGGGTTGGCCAGCGAAGGAGCTGTACACACATGCTGTGCGGCGTCGTGCGCCCCTGGATTCATTGTTTGACTTCACGAGGTCTGGGTTTTTGCTATCGGAGAGTCTTGTGCTCTTTGCCATGAGTGCATTTCGAGGCGGCGTGGTGGCGCAGCGAGACATTTGTTTCACCATTGAACGTTTCTTTGGTGCCCGTGCATGCGTAGAGAAAAGCGGTAGGGCCTCTTGCCGGACGCAATGGACCTTTTTTCTTCTTCGGGAGGCGTCGCGTCTGTGGGCAGACGAAGCAAGCACCCCTGGCGCTCTCGACCGCAGCTACCCATCCCCGCGCCTTGTTGACGCCTTCTTGCTTATGGCATCCCTGCTGAGGGGTGGGAAGATCACTGTGGAGGACATACGTGAGGGGGAACTCTTTAGTTCGCCTCAGTACGCTTCCGGTGGTTATCCCCCTTTTCATCCGTTGGAGAGTGATACCTCTGGTAGCTATAGTAGCAGGCTGCTGCAGGTTGCGAGAGAGGTGTCCCCCTTCGCGTTCCCGGGTCGTCGGGTCACGGTGTACGCTAAGAACTGGCACCACTTCGTCACTCGTGAGGTGCCCTTGCGAGACCTGCGCATTCTTCGCGCAGCCGCACAAAGCTTTCTTGAAGAGCACGACATAAACCCTCTTTTGGTGACCAGTGATATTCATGACTATGTCGATAGCGCGCGTTGGTCATGGTTGCAAAGGGTTTTTGGTACACTCTGGGATGCCCTTCTGTATCCATTCACGCAGACACAGCTGGAGGCTGTAGAAGACCAGCTGGCGAAGGAGCTGCTACCGAACAAAACTCTAGATTCCGAGCCTGTGGATGTCGCGAGCCGATTGACTGCCTCGGTGCTAAGTTCACGCCCCGTTCGGGAGGTGGCGATTGCTTTGCAGCTTCTCGCTGCGGCTTTGGTCTCCGGAGAGCCCGACGGCTTCACTTTGATCTTGTTGGAGGAGATGCAGCGCGGCAACTACCACTTGCACAGCTTTGCACGCTTCATCGCGGAGCATGTGTGGGGAAGGAGCTTGACGGAGGTATGGATGGAGGAGCACAAGGCGGCCCAGTGGCACCACGCAAAGCCAAAGACAATAGGACGGGGCCCTGTGTTTGCCATCGGCTCACGCATTCCCTTTTGGTACGCCGTGCCCGATTCGAGAATGGAACTCTTCGCGCAAATTGCCCTCAAACGTGTCAATACTCGGCAGCATTGCACCACTTCAAGCGGTCGTGTCTTAGCGTATGCAAATTGCACTTTGTCTCCGGAGGTACAGCATGAAATGTTCCACATGATGGCATTGTGTAGTGGGGTGGTGATTGATGCTGCTTCACGAAAGGGACGTCCGCTGGCGCCGCGGAGGCCGTACGATGGGATGTATTTTCCCGTGGGGAGTCCTCTCTGCCTCCAGCGTCTCCTGCAATATACAAGCTCCACGGGGACTTCGCCATTTGCTGGCCTCAGTGCTGCGGCTGCTGAGGTGTTGCTTTTGGATCTCCTTGTCGAGTTGACGGAGGCGCAGGCGCGTTACTACAGCCTCTCCCTCAACGGCCCGGGTGCTAGCAGCGGAGACAGTTCAGACGCAGCCGACGGCGACAAGGAGTCGACGTCGAAGAAGTTACGTAGGCACTTGGTGGAGCCGTGGAGACAATTAGGACAGGAGGCAGCGGAAGAGATCTCTCTGCCAGGAATTGGCGAGGGTGCGTACTACAATGGACGCTTGCACCGTGTCACTGGAACGTACTACGCCGCACGTATGCGTGTCTTCTACGCCAGGGCCAAACTATGGCTTTCTGGGTTCGTAGGTGTCGCGTGATGATGACTCGTTGTTTTTGCCTCTTTGTCTGTTTGTTTCTTCTCTATGACGCTCCTTAACGCAATAAAAAAAAATGAAATAAGACACAATCACCTTGCCGTGTAGCAGGTGCCTTTGCTGCAGTTTTGTGTCATGCGGGCATATTTATTCTGAGGCGTTGCCGTTATTCTGTCGGGGCTCAGTCACTTCTGTTCGTACTCATCATCGCCTTCTTGTTGCCTTTTTTTTTTCGTTTCTCTCTCTTCATTTATTGCGACAACCACACAACAAAACAATCCACGCCCCTCTGAACCTGGACGACCCCAGTAACGTAAGAAGAAGAATAATAATAGGCAAAGCTCTGCTGCGACGCCGTTTGTTACTCTAGTAGGTTACAGTTACCTTTTCTTCCGCTTGTGTCTGTAGGGCGTTTCTGTCAGGCCCTCTTGTGTGAATTGTTGTTTGCCATGGAACGTGTCACAGGTGTGCTTAACGACGCTGCAGAAAAGACAAAGCATGCCGCTGAGGCAGCCGTGGAGGGGACCAAAGAGAGCGGCGCAAGGATGAATTCAAAGATGAAGGAAATAATGGATGTCGAGAAGGAAAAGGCTGCCCTAAGGGAGGGCACCGAGAAGCTCAAGGGTTACACTGGGGGGGTACTCAACTGGCTAAAACAGTTGGTGGGGATGAAAGTGGAGAAGGTGGAGAAGGTGGAGGTGGTGAAGAAGGCGGCAGTGCCTCCGGGAAAGCCGGCTGTCGCCAAGCAGGAAAGTGTCGCTCCGAAGCAAGAGGTCCGGGCTGTTGCACCGCAGAGGTGGTACATTGTTGCAGGCATTGCGGTTTTGGTCGCGGTGGGCGTCTCCGGTTGCGTGCTATGTATGAAGGCGCGAAAGAAGAGGGAGAAGCAGGACGGCAACGAAGAACCGCAGAAGCCTAAACCTTCGGCCTGAGCTTGAAGAACATACACACACGAAAGAAAAAAAAATCTGAGGTGGCGGTTTATAGTGCGTTTCTTCGCATGTTTTTGGGTTTGGCTTTTCTGCTTCACTTCCTCCCGTCAAAATCATTGACTTGCACGCGAAAAGTGCCGTGTGTGTCTCTTTCGGGTTGGGTGATTGTTTTTTTTTATTTTCTCTTCTTAGGAAACCGAAAGGGGGAGACGGAGGGCTTTCGCCGCTTCTTTATCTTCCTGCGGGTTGGGGAAAAGTGGGTAGGGGCGCGTGTGTTCCTGTTTATTTTGTTTTTGATTTGATTTATGCTGTACTTAGTTCGCTGTTTTTGACGTTCATATATGCATTTATATATATTTATGTTTCCCTTTCTCTCTCTCTCTCTGTGTGTGCGTGTGTGGAGGTTGGTTGGCGTGCAGGATTTGACCGTCCTCCGCTGCGGCTCTGGATTCTTTCATCACCTCTCTACACCCGCTCGGATGTTGCCAGCTTCAACCTGACATTTATAATGCACACGTGTGAGGGGCCCTGATGAGGAAGGTGTCTTGTGTTCCGTGCGGGCTGTTGTGCATGCAAATATATTTAGTGTTTAGTGAAGTGCACCACGCACACTGGGGGAGGGAGAGACATCAAGAACGGGGTGGGAGATGGTTGTTTACCGGCAAACCGCCCTATCGTGCGATGGCGGATGCCCCGACTCGGTTGGAGGGGAAACCGAGACAGCGCAAATCGCCATATTGTATCTGACTCTCACTCCCCTTTTCGTTTTTTGTTTTCTTTGTTTATTCATTTTTCGCTGAAGGATATATATATATATATATTTGTGGTTAGTTCCTTGGGTAAGTATTTGGGGTGGGGAAAAGCATGGCGCGCGGAGACAGTGCCCGAGGGCGACGATGCGTCTGCTTGCTCGTCTTCACGCTGCTTTGCGCGCTGCGGGCGTCAGTGACGGCCGACTCCGCGGTGCTGACGGACCCGGCCACGGGGGAGGTGGTCTTGCTGACGCCCGGCAAGATGCACTCCTCCGTGGCCTCTCGCTCCCCCGTTGTGGGGCTCTGGCCACACGGGGACGGCCGCGACGACGACACCGCCTTCTTCAGGGCCGAGGATGACGCCTACGAGCAGTGGGTGGCGCGGAAGAGGCAGCGGGAGCGGGAGCAGCAGCGGCGACACGGAACGGGCGGCGGGGGGAAAGGGGGGGAGGCTACGAAAGGGACGCAGAGTAACTCCAAAAAGACGCGCAAGTCAAGATTGGAGAGGTTTTCAGCAGAGGCTGTGAGGACTCGTAATGCCGCCCGTCGTCAGCGCCTCAAGGAGCTCACGAACACCTCCCTGTTTGAACTTGCATGGAATGAAATCCGTGCCGATACGGATCTTCTGAAAGACTTCGTCTATGAGGCCTCATCCTTTGCTCCTCAAGAAGTTCCTGGAGCCACTCCCGAGGAGCAGTACTCTCACCTTCTGAAAACCGTGTTTAGACACACCTTGCGGAACATGACGCAGGAAAAGAGGAGTGTTTGGATCGAAAACTGGTTGTATGCCCTTCCTTACCCGATGCTCCTCGATGGGAGAACTGTGGGAAACGCTGAGCGGGAGGTGCGCAACATCAAGGAATATATGAGTCGGGTGGATTCAGCACAGCGCACGGCAAATGTGACAGAGAATGATGTTGGGAATGTTAATTATACCAAGCAACTGATTAGGGAGAATCTTTGCGGCTCTGCAGAGATGCTTAATGCGAGTAGAGCGGCACACAGGATGGTTATTGAGCTTGCGCTTCCGCTGCTCCCGCACTTTCGCCAGAGTGTCACCACTCAGCTGCGGGATGTCAATGCCCAGATCGTTGGAAACGACGAGTCGACGGCCCTCTTGCGTCAGCAGTTGAAGGAGTGGACAAGGCGTAAGAGTAACCTCAAGGCTTCTAATGAAAAAGTGACAAGGGTTGAATCTGAATTACGTCGCGCTGTGTACGGCAAGACCCTTCTTCCGGAGGACGCCTTTATTTTCTCCCTTGCTCTGATTGCCAAGTTGCGTCTGGGGCAGAACACGGGCATGGAATCTGTGGACGTGGCAACCGACCTTGGAACATGTGTCTCGCTCACCGCGGCTCAGGAGGCGGAGCTGAAAGCGGCCCTCTACCGCCCGTTTGGGATAGGCCTTCTGGCCGTGGCCACTCTGAGCTGGGCACTGTTAGGATCACGCGAGTTCTGGTTGAAGCGAGTGCGGCGGTCTTTGTTTTCTCTGCAACGCACAACTGAGGTGAGCGGCCACTCGCGTGGGAAATTTTCTCTTGTGCGCCTCTGCCTCCGAGTAAACTTGCTGATTGAGGCATGTGTCCCGTTGATAGTCCCAACCTTTTCCCTGTACGCCGCGCTTAACCGCAAAAACGAGGGGCCCTCTCTCTATCACGTCTTTCTATTTTCGCGCCCAGCACAACGGCTGATGTTGGCGGGCGTCGTTGTTGTGTTGTACCTCCTGAGTCTCATGGTGTTCTCCTTGATGGGTGCACTGTATAACTGTTCCTCCACCACCACGCCACGGCGGAAGCTTAAAAAGCCTTGAGGCATAAAAGTAAAGGGAAATGCGAAGGAAACGAGCTGGCGGGTTCGTGTGTTATCGGTAGTGCCCTTTCCCTGAGATCTGCAAAAGCGTCTGGTTGAGTGTGAGGCACTGCGGTGGTCGGACTCTTTGAGACGGGCACTTTCGCCGCCGCGTTACCTCCGCCCCCCTCTCCCCCCCCCCCCCACAAATTATGTGGAACAACGGGGAAACGCGGAACCAACTCCAGCACTCCCTCGCTCGTTCTCTCTTTCTTAATCGCTTGCTCTCTGTGTAAGATGGAGGGCCGCAAAAAAAAACAGGTGAAAAGTAACGACTTTACATGGCGGAATGTACTGCTTGGAATGAGATGAGGGAAATGCTGACTGCGCTGCCTGCTTTCATCCCCTTGCCTTTTTTCTTTTCTTGTTTTTCATTGCTCCGCCCGTGCTATGCGTAGTGAGCGCTGCTAGCGGGTGCGTTGCATGCGTGCTTCTTGGGTTCTGACGGATGTGTTCTCCATCGCGCTCGGTCGAAGCCACCCGAATGTGGCACGAGGGACGTACTCGGGCAGGCACGCACGGCAGATGGGGCGTCGATGTGGCCCAGCGCCGCACCACGTTGTTTTTCCGGGGGCCGTGGTGAAAAAAGAAACCACGCCGCCTGGAAAGACGACCGACACCCCCCTCGCTCAGATGAACGCGTCACTGCAGTCGACCACAAGCACGGGGGTACGCACAAGGGCGGTGGAGTTGGGGCTTGTCTCAGAGGAGGCTGATTCCGCTTTTGCGGAGTTGTGCGGAGGGGGCAGCTCCACCTCGAAGGATCCCTTGCTTGAATTTTTGGAGAAGAACGAAGAGGACGCCGCCCTCTTGCTCGCCATGTGGACCTCGTTGCGTCGCAGCTGTTTGCATGCCTCGGAGATATCGGAGTCCCTGTCGCTCACAACAAGGTGGTTTTTGCATCACCTCATCCGGATGCGCGCCATCGCGGCCGCGGTGCGGTTTTACCAGCGACTCTTGGCCCTGGGGGTGCAGCTGCAGAAGTGGGACGTTGTTCTGCTGTTGAGTAACTTGCCCTACGACCGGTCCACAACTGTGGCGGAGTCCCACTCCGAGGCGTGGATGCAGGAGAACCGCCCCTCGCGGTGGGCGGAGCGGCGGCGGCGCGAGCAAAGAGGACGCGGCGAGGACGTTACATTGACGCCCCACAAGCGAGCAGACACCGCGGGATGTGGGGGAGCGGGGAAGGACGAGGGGGGGCGTCCAGGCATGGGTGCGGGGGTCGTCACCCCCAACACCGCAGCGCCGTCCCAACCCACGTACTCCGCGTCTGGTGGCAGCGCCAGTGTTGCCCAAAGTAAAACGGATGGCAACACCGTTGGTGCGGTAAAGCAGCCGCATTCTCAGAAGCAAGATTGGGTCAGGCAGTGGCTTCTCTACGAAGCCTCGATGGGAAACATTGAATTCCCCGACGGCGAGGAGTGTGGTGGACCTGTCACGTGCGATGGGAGGTCGGATGCATCTCACTTTAGCGACGCCGTGGAGGCCGATGCAGACATGCTGCAGGATTCGCTGGAAGCACACCGTCTAATGGGTGTGATGGCCCAATTAAAACATCTTATGTTGCTACAAGATGCCGGCATTCTTGTTGCGACGAACAGGACGCCAAGTCCACATAGGTGTGCCATCAGCGTCGCTGGAGGCGCATCCGCTACAAGGCACCGTCGCTACTGGGCCGAGGCACTCCACCTTGCAGGCGTGTATGTGAGGTCCATTCCAGCAACACGGGATGCCACCTCGCTTCCTGAGGAACTTCTTGAAATCACACGGCGGGCCGTGATGTGCTCTCAATCCTGGAAAGTCGCCCTCCATTACCTTGAGCTGGCTAAGCGGCACGACGTCGCGTTGAGCAGAAAGGATTATGCGAAGTTTGTGCTGATCGCTGCGGAGGAGGAGCCATGGCGAAAAAGCCGTAGAGTCGAAGAATGTATGACGCACCACGTTCTCCCGCACCTTTCAAATTCAACCGCGGCTGGCTATGCGGTTCGGGCTCTATGGCTGGTGTACGCATGCTCCTTGAAATTGGATCGACCTGAGGACTACGTGGAGCTGGTTGGGAGCCAAGCAAGGAACCTCCCTGCAGCAATAAAGGAGGCCATCATGTTTGCTAAGCTTGCGGTCTCCCATCTGCATATTGAGGTTGATCGATACCGGGCAGAGGCTGCGGCTCAAGAGTTACTTGCAACCTCGCTTCGAAAGGGTTTGTTTTCAACGGTTGGTGAATCCACACCGGAGAATTCCCCTTCTTTACTTACGAAACCGAATGAGGAAACAGCACCCGATTCCTGCACGGGTGAAATTCTTTCAGAGTGGTTAAGAGACTCTTTATTCCTGGTTTGTATTTCTCTCCCCCGTGTTATTGCTGTGGCGCCTATTCTCGTGATTTCACAAGAAGACGCTGTTCAACTTACTTCCTTCCTGGTGGACGTATTATACAGCCGCATGGGGGTATGGGAGATATTCTCCAAATTGTACTTGGGGAAGGCCGAGGCCTCTGCACGTCGTGCCCCTGAGAGGTCGTCTATCGCCGCTTCCATGGCTCTCTGTGTGCTTCGCGTCGCCCTGGCGTTGTGTGCGGCCCACGGCGAGTTTGCATCACGACAACGAGGCGTCGTCTTGCTTACCCCCAAGCAGCTGACGCTTCTTTTAGGCATGGGAGTGGAGGCGTTGGGCGCCATCCCTTCTCACGCATGCGGCAACGCGGAGTTGCGATCCGTCATGGCGAGTTTGGCGCGCACGGCTGTCCGGCTGACAAAGGAGGTGTGCCGGCTCTTCGACCTCAGCCCCGGTAGTGAGAGGCTGCTGTTTGGTGTCGCCTCGGAGGAAAAGGTGGGGTCGCTCGTCCTCATGGTCCGGGTTCTACTGCTCCTGCACGCAGACGCGCCTGGGCGACGCTTCCCGGTAACCACGCAAGTCTTTCTTCGTTCTCTTTTCCGGCCCAACAGCGGCTTGGGAAAACAAGTCCGACGTTCCCTGCAGCAAAAGGAGGTGGATCAATTAGACGCTCTTTTGTACCGGCGCGCTCATGCGAGAACCAGTGCTGAAGGTGGTTCTCCTTCAACCCGGCGTCTCCAGACCTTTTCTTCCGAAGACGTTGCAAGGATTGCGGCGACAGCAGAGATGCATAACTCGATTTATTCTATAGCCGTTCAACATGAAGGTGATTCCTCTGCCGTGGAAGGCGCACTCGGCTCTCGTCTTCGCACAATGCAGTCGGGTGAGGCTTGCTTACTGTTGCATGTTGCCCTTCACCATCTGCGTTTACGTCCTGGAACTTTTGGGATGGCGTTTTTCCTGAAGGTGTTGGAGCGCCTTCGCAGCGGCGCAACGAGTGAGGCCCATGGTTCATCCTTGTGGCTAAAGGCCATCTCGGTGTATTGGGACGCTGTGGAGCACACTGCAGCCCATTCAGGTTCCCTCAGTACAGCTGGTGTCAGCAATAGGAAGAGGTTTCAGGAGCATGAAAGAGAAGTTTTGTCGGCGTTCCTTTTACCGATGATGCAACTTAGCATGGCGATGAGAAGGAGGGACCTGGGCTGGGTTTGGCTGGATCGCTGGGCTTCTCTTTATACACCTGTGGAACGCGACACATGCTGGGCGATGCGTAATGTTCAAGCACGATCGACTCTTCGTGACAGGCGTGGTCTGCATATGTGCCTTGAACTCGTTAAAAACGAGTCGAAGAAGGCGGCAATGGAGGGGACGCTTGTAGAATCACCACCAGCCCCAGTTACATCGCTTCTCTGTGAAGTTGCCGTGAGACATGCGGATTGGCGAGAGGCCTTGGAGAGTCTGCTGCAGCCCTTTGTTCATTCTGCAAGCAGCGGAAGCCCCGTTATACCGTTGCCAAGCCTTGTCTCTAGTTCCGCGTTGCGGATTCTCTGCCGTGCTCCTACTAACCTCTCCAACACCGCTCTACGGCTTAGGACGATTCAGGGGGAGCAGTGGGATCTTCAAAGTGCCAATGGGCTTCTGTTGTTGCTTCTGCGACAACGCCGGTGGAAGCTTGCTCTGCAGCATGTCAAGGAGATGTATCCGTTGCTGGACGGCGTCACTGACACGCCGGCAGGAAGCACAAGTAGCTGCAGCACTAGTAATATAACGGAGAATAATAGCAAGGATGAGGAACAGATGAAGGTGAATCAGGCATTGTTTCTTCTTTATGGTTTGCGGGCGTGTGCCATTGGTGGATCTGGCGAGGAGGCCGCACTGCTGTACGACCGTGTCAAGGCACTCTTCACAAAGACGAACTCCGATAGCTCACTGGAGAAGACGAATAATAACGGCTCTGCAACGCAGCTGGAGGAGTTGCTTTTCTCCAGCTTTAACCCTGATGAGGTGGCGACAAGCGTGTCTGCCGTAGGGGATGAAAATGCTCGTCTGGGTATTATCACGGGCCAAGCGCGTCGCTACTTCCTTCGCGCCATGACGAAGAAGAGTTTGACTTCTCAAGGTTTGCGTAAGTAAAGAGATGTGTGTTTGTGCAGGACTTTTAACGCATATCATTGTATTTATTTGTTTCTGTGTGTTTATGGGTGTCCGTTTGGCGTTGTTGACCACCGCTTGACTGCATGGAAGCGCATGGGGAGAAGCATCTCATATCGCTGCGGTTACTGACTGCTGCACTGCTGGAGTGCACACACACACACACACACACACCCAGAGCCACAGAAAGAGAGACATGGCAGTGTGTCAATTCCAGGCGAAGTAAATGGATGTCATTGCTGCTGTTATTTTTCTCTCCTCCTTTTTTTCTCTCTCTCTTTTTTTCCTACTGTTGCCCCCCCCACCTGCGAGGGAAATAGGCAGCGACACCCGCATGGCCCACTCACTGACGTGGAAGGTCCTAGGCCCTGAGGAGACGCAAAAGTGTCTCGCGGCGCCTGATGTGCCCTCAATTCGCTCGGTGCTGAAGGCATTTGACGAGTCCTGTGACGGGCAGTTCATCGGTGCATCAAACTACAACGAGGGACAAGTGATGATTCTTCTTGACATGCTTGCCCACCTTGTTCTTTTCTGCAAGTCGCATTGCATGTCAGCAGAAAAGGTCAGCACGCTCGTTGGCATCGCCAGCAAGCTTCATAAAGAGAGCATGTCAGGTGGGTACACACGGGCTCAGTCGTATCATCGGATGCAGGATCTCATGATACAGCACAGCGTTCCACGTCCACCGTTTTCTTGCGGTGTCTTTACCGTACGAGACGCACAAGCTATTGATGAGTACATGCTGCAGTCGTATTACCGCCACTACAAGATGTACGTTTATGCCTTTGTGCCGCGACAGGTGGCGAATGTCCGCTGCCTAGATGTGAGTCATATACATCAAATACCGCCAGTTGGCCTGCCGTCGCTAGTCACAGCCATTGGCGATAATGAGTGGCGGTCCAAAGTGGAGGAGCAGCGGCGCGGCGCTGAAGCGCAGACAATAGAGGAGGAAGAAGTTGCCTCGGATGCATACGAGCAGGAGAGGCTACGGCAGCGGTTGCTTACCGACCCCCATTATAGTGACGGTATCCGGGAGCAGCTCGAGAGCATCAAGAAGGATGTGACGTCCAAGGCAGTTGACCGCCTGGATGAGATCGAGGCAAGGCTGCTGGAGATTGAGAAGAAAGTGATGGAAGCCACTGCGCCAGATACCAAGGAGGGAAAACGTAAGAAATGAGCTTCTCTGCATCGGTTGAGTAGGATGTTGGGATGTACAGAAGAAAAGAAGAAGAGTAACTTTTCCCCCAATTCCTACTTTTTGTTCTCTCCTTCAGAGCGTGTCGCCCACCGACCCAGACAACGGGCGGGTAGGAGAGGAGGAGTTTTTTTTGTGTGTGTGTTTTTTTTTCACTTGTATCTCACGCACCTGTATGTATGGGTGAATTTGTCACTCAAAAAAAAAAACGTCTTTTCTGTCGTCTTGTTCCCTTGCCGTTTTCACTTTTCTCCCTATTCTCTTTTTTTAATTATATTATTGCGGTTTGTGATTTACCCGTTTAGAAGAGTTTATTTGTTTTTGCAACGTGGACCGTCATGCTGAAGCGTGGGTGGCGCCGGGTTGCCCTGGGCGCCGTGTGGGGGGTCAATCCGCTCTTAACTTCAAGGCGACGACATGCAACGGCAGCACTGCCGTCGGACGTAAGTGCGAGCCCGCGCCGCGTGCGACTTGTTTCGTCTACGTCGACCTTTGGCGCCGGGGCAGAGCCACTGCCAGTTGATGTGGATGCGCCATCGGCCGATCCAAACGATCCCTACGGGCATCTGCGTATCTACCGCAAGGATATGGTGTCAGACGTCGGTGGTCGTGCGTTTCAACTCAGCGTGGATGTGCCGCTAAAAAAGTTTGTGGATTTCTTTAGCGATTTTGACGGTAAGCGATGCAAACTGTGCAATGAGAGTTACATGCAGTGGCACAGCCATAGCGGGGTGATTCCCCATTCAGGGCGGGAGGCGCTGATGCTCGAGATGGTGCGTGCTTACTGTGGCACCCCTGAAGAGATTGCCAGGATGTGGTGGCACCGCCTCAACACCTCCACCGTATTTAATCGTATTCCTTCCCTGAGCCATGACAACAGTCATATCCGTAAGCGTCGGCTGCAGTATCTTCTTCAGTTTTTGAAGGACCGGGATGTTATTCGTGACACCTTTAATGTGCAACAGAGTGCCGGAGGCGCTGGTCGATCCTGGGAATTTGAGCGCCTGGAGTGGATTGGAGACAACGTGGTGAAGTACGTCTTTAATGACCGCTTCAATGTCCTCTTTCCAGTGCGTGAGGGTGGTATCCGTGGTCGCTTGGGCTACGCGCAGTTTATGATTGACGGCAATGATGGGCTGGCGAGAGCGTATGACCATCTTGAGTTGCAGAAGTTGACGCTAAGCGATCGCGTTGTAAGCAAATTCAAGAGTGATGTTGTGGAGACGCTCTTTGGGGAGCTGCAGTTGTTTTTGTGGGCCTCGGAGACGGACGTTGGCACCACCTACTTTGCCTTGCCCTTTACTTCGGAGATGCTGCCTCTCAGGGCGCTGGTGTGGCACGTGATGGAGGAGCTGGCGCATGTCATGTTCATGTACCACGTTGACCACATCCTCGCCGCAATTCAACGCATTGTTCGGGAGCATCAGCTGCAGTTTATCCGCGCCGATCCGTCCCTCCGCGGTCACACGGACCTGCAAAATGAGCTGGCGAGCACCTTGTACGCCAAGCGGAGTTTGACAGGATCGGGAAAGCTGACGCCGACAAAGATTTCCCCCAGTTCGCGCTTCAAAGACGGTCTCGCCGCGCTGTACCACGAATCCTCTAATTACGAGGGGTTTAAGCGTGTGAACGCACTCGGCGGTCTTTTGCCACGTCCCTTCTCCCGCGAGGAACTATCGGTGACGCCGTCCTTCCTGCCGCACCTGCAGAACGATGAGGCGATGACCAGCCGGGTTCCGTCGGGCTGGTGGTCAAACCTGCTGCGCGCGACGGAGGAGGAGAAGGAGGCGGTGGAACGGCAAGAAGTGCTTTCTTCCCCGCCACCACCATCGCCGCATGCCGCCGTGACACCGACACCACAACCGCGCTCAGACACGGCGGTCAGTGCCAAATTAAACGTGCCGGAGCTCAAAGATAACCATTTGGTGGCGGAGTTGGTATAAGTGAAGAAAAGCTACTTTTGTTGAAACATTTTTGTTGTCGCTGGTTGTGTTGGTGCGAGGAGGCCTCGTCGGCGCCTTGTCAATTGCTGAGTCTGCCATATATATCTTATTGACAACGGTGGTGGTGAGTTGTTGTCCTCCGCCTCTGATTCCTCTGTCGTTGTTATTGCTGCTGCTGCTGCTCTTGACTTCCTCTGCGCATCTCTCTCTCTCTCTCACACGCACACACACTGAGGGTGGGTTAGGGTGTACCACGATTGGGCGCCAAGGGTGGTGCTGTTTCTCCGGCGCGAGGAGGCTCCCGGACGCTGATTGCCGCTAAGCAACATTTTCATGTCTCAATCGAAAACTCAGGACGGGCAGGAGGAGGCCGCCAGTGCTTCCCCGCGTGCCGTTCTCAAGACAAGGACGGCGTTTCAGATATACAAGACCGACGGGGCGCCAGGGAGTGCCGCCGCGTTTAGCACACTTCCTAGTGACGAGGTGCTGCCGTATAAGATAAAGGCCGACGAAATGACACTCGTGTCTGCTCTGGACGTCGTGGAGGCTGACGCCGGTGACAGAAGGATGTACGGGCCCGCCACGCTACACCTGGTGGTTAACTACCTGTCGGACCTTCTCTCCTTCATCCCGTTGGGTGGTCGCTCACACGTCTTGCCGAAGGTCAGCATAAACTACAACGCCCTTCAGCGTGCCGTGGCCCTGTACGGGGCCACAGAGGCCGTGGAGGGGGCACTCACGCAGCTCGCCATAACAAATCCCAGCGCCTCTGAGGTGCCCATTCGCGTGATTTCGTACTTTATGGATCATTTTAGCGTCATTGAAAAGTCTCTTCGGCAAGAAATGCGGGACTCAGGGGAAAAGGTGGGGATGTTTACAAAGTCCACCGCCCCTGCCCCCGCGTTGGCGGCCGTAGGCGATACGAGCATCAATGATGTCAACACTTCCGTCTCCTCAGAGACAGCCTCGCGCAAGCGCCTGGCCCCCTCGCGGGAAGAAACATCAGCCGCGGGTGAAACAGAAGAGGCCAACGCGGCAGCACCAGTTAAGAGAATAAAAACAGAAGGAGGCAAGAAGGCGTCTGGTAACGTCAAGAATACGAGTACGCAGTTCACCTTGCGGCGAATGTTGTATGGCCGCCTGCGAATGTTAACAAGTCAAGAGAAGAAGGTGGTCACACTGCTCAATCAACTGATTCAGGTTCTCGGCCAGGTGTATGCGGCGCGGTACAATACTCTGCTGCCCGTATTTGCACTGCTGGAAAATAAGGTGAAACAAGCACAAGAGATCATTGATGCGGAGCGTGCTGCGTTTCAGTCCAAATCCGAAAACACAGAAAAATCATCTGAGCCATTTTTGGAAGTGACTTTGGAGGGCATTCTACAGGCGATTCAACACGCCTCTCATCTTTTTAAAACCGATGAGGAATGCCGCTATGAACTGGATGAGGATTTGCTTCACCCCATTGCACATGCCTGTATGACGGAGGTTAACCGGATTGAGGGATTTACCACGACGCCTTTTGAAGGACCATCAAAAGAGGCACTTGAAGCCAAAGCCAAGGCGCGTGAAGCCGCGCGAGCAAAGCGAGAGGAGCAGCGCACGAAAGCCCTTGAGAGGGCAAGGGCGAAGGAAGATTTGGAGGCAAAGAAAGAAGAGGAGCGAAAGCTCATACGTGCCCACCTAGGTGAATTGGACCCGACGAGCCTCGTGGAGGACACGAGTATCAAAAATCCCGTTAAAATTGCTTATGTCCGTTACGGTAAATTGCCGCTGGAACCTCCAGAAGAGTATGAGCGGGCCCTCTTTATTTGGGCTATGATTACCTCGCTGCCCAGGCCCTTGCATCTTTCACAGATGCCGTTTAATTTGTTTCTAAAAGGTCTGTTGTCGGATGAGGGGCGCGACAATGGGCTTATGGAGGAAGTTGTGCTTGCGCTGCTAGATGTGGCCATGGAAAGTCTCCGTGCCTCCAATGGTCCGAAAATCTCCACACGTGGCAAGGACTGGTTCGGCAGCATGGTTGAGTTCGTGGCGGTGTCTAGTGGTAACAAAAAGACTCGTCCGCCACCTCGTCCGAAGGCAACTTCGTACGATGACGATGAGGAGGAGGAGGAGGAGGATGATGATGATGAAAGTGACGAGGCGGAAGAGGAAGAGGACAGTCAGAGCGCGGAGGAAGGAGGAGGAGGAGGAGGAAGGTGCAGATGCGGATGGAGCGGAAGCCGCCAGCTCCAATGAGAAGGAAAACGTGGAAAAAGAAGCGGAGAATGAGGAAGTGCAGGGACAGCGTGGTGAAAAGGAAGAAGAATGTGGGATAGAGAGCCTGGATGCGAGGATAAAAACCACCGTGGAACACGTGGCGGAGCTGCGGCAAATGGCCGCCTGGGGTAACGTGGACATGGAAGACCGTTTGAATCTTTTGCAGTACATGGTGTTGGAGGCGCTTAGCTCCCCCGCAGCGCAGGAAGAGGCGGAGAAGGTGAGGAAGATGCATGAGGAGATGAAGTTAACGATGGAAAGGCGGACGAAGGAGATCCGGGAAGGTGCCCATAAGGAAATTACTTCCCTCCTTAAGCAATTTTCGTCCTCCTCGAAATCAGCGAATGACAGCTCAGAAACGTATGAAGCAAAGCGAGAGAAACTCTATGAAGAGATGGAACAGAGGCTGCAGCATGTTGTGAATGAATACTTGGGCATACAAGATGGCAAGGACGTTGGGGCTCTCATCTGCCCACTCGGCATGGACCGCTACCGACGGATGTATTGGCGATTTCCATTCGATCGCCATATCGTTGTTCAATCTATTTCTGCCACCGATACTAATTTTCCCATTCTGCCTGAGCCACGCGAACTCGTGGTTCAGAGCGTGAAGGATGCGAGGGCCATGTTGCTTGATGACTCAGACGAAATTGAGCACAATTCCAAGGACGCCAATGGCAACGTTCACAAGAGTGACAGTGATGAAGTTCCACAGCGAGTATGGGGTGTTGTGCCGCCAGAGTATTTAGGCCACTTCATCGAGGGGCTTGACCGACGGGGCATAAGGGAGGCGGCGCTTCGACGCTCGCTGGAATCAATTCAGCCGTATTTGCTTAGTTTGAGCGAGCCGCCGGTGGGACGTATGACCCGGACGCGTTCCCACACCTTCGGCTATTTCAATAAGTTGAAGCTCGAACTGTAGCCGTGATTGAGAGATAGAAACAGAGAGAGAAAGAGGCATTTCATACTGAAGTGGAAGGGAAAGAAACGCGATACGCAATTACTTGCAAGTGTCGTGTTTTGATGGTGGTGGTGTTCTGGGGTGAGTGACACAGCGGCCAACAAGTACTTCTCCCAAGCAGAGCAGCACTTGTTTGGGTGGTGCGCTTTGCGCGGGCGCGGGCGCTCCGCTTGTTGTTTTCTTACTATTTTCTGCTGGAAAGGGGGAGAGATTTCCTTGGGTCTTGGCGAAGATGTGCAACATGCACATCCAAGCCGTGCGACAGCAAAGTAACTGGGGCGGTGCAGCCCACAAAAGTGGGGAGACCTTCTCTTAAGAGGAGTGTCTGGCGCACTCCGTTGTCGTTACAACAGAATTCGTCTCGTGATTGATAAATTTGTCTGGCAGCATCCTGCTGTTTCTGTGCCAAATCACCTGCTTCCTGGGCGTATGCTTATTTGTTATTTTGTTTTATGTTTGCTTCGCTTTTTTCTCCTCTTTCCCTTCCCTTCCCTGCCCACTCGCACGAAAGGAAGGAGGAGCTATGCGGACGATTGACTGTGAATTCTCCCACTTCGCGGTGCACCCCGGCCACGGCCGCCGCTACGTGCCCTTCGCGTTCCTGTCGACGAAGCCCGTCCTGACGTTCGCCCGCCCCAAGTGCTTTGCCATGTACATGCGAAAGAAGAACCCGCGCTTTGTCCCGTGGACCCGCACCTACCGCCGCATCCACCGCAAGCTGAAGGTTGACCGCGTCGGTCGTCGCCGCGCCGCCCGTGCCGTGAAGACGGAG